CTTCCTTCCTGGTCTGCTTCCTCCAGCTTTGCCCCCTCAATCTGTCCTTACACTTCCTCCATGACCCACCTGTGCAGCCTGACACTCCAGGGCTCTGCTCAGGGGCTCCTCCTCTTAGGGGCTCCACATTGTCTGGGACAGTGGAGACTCTCTGCATGGCCCACCCGGCCTCAGCCTTTAGGGTCCAGGAACCTCCAATCCCTTCATTCCTACACATACTCTGAGATTCGGCCTCACCTGCAGATCTGCCTCAGGCCCTTCTCACACCACTAGGTCACACATCTGTTCTCCCCTAGGCTTTGGAAGCCCCTAGACAGGAAGACCTATGTCTGCGTGTCCGCTCTGATTATTCTCTGGGCTTAGGCGGCATCTCCCATGCCATGTGTTCAGTCAGTATGTGATAAATGTACCCGGTGATCCTGCTGGTAACACAAATAGTAAAAGCTAACGAAAAAAATTATGCAATGAAGACCTGATATTCACAAAAGAGACAAGTAGCAAAGTGACCCAGCTCAGCTCCTGGGACAGCTGGATGGCAGGGACACCCCATGCCGAGTACCCTGAGTCTTCATGGGGGAGCAGGAATTACAGTGTGGTCTGGACAGTGCTCTTCTGCCCTGACACCCCTGAAGATCAGAGTCACAAAGACGGTGGCCTGACTTTGGACAGTGTCAGCAAGCAAAGGCTACTGTGGGAAGAGTGTTAACAAGCAACAGGGGCCAGCCATGCAGAGTAGAAGGAAGGGCAAGCCCAAAGGGCAGAAAAAAGACAAGAGTGTGGCTTCAGAGGACATCACAGAGAAGGGCAGAGTGGGGCTACAGCATGCCGGACATCAGTTACAGGAGGTAATTAATTTTCATTTTGTTTATTTATATTTTTAGAGATAGGGTCTCCCTGTGTCACCTGGGCTGGAGTACAGTGTTGCAATCATAGCTCATTGCAGCCTTGGACTCCTACACTTAAAAGAGATCCTCTTGCCTGAGCTTACGCAGTTGCTGGTAGGTGAGTCTAGGGGTATGTGTTACCATATCTCACTAATTTTTAAAGTTTTTGTAGAGAAGGTGCCCAGGCTGGTGTTGAACTCCTGCCCTGAAGTGATCTTCCCCACCAGGCTCCCAAAGTGCTGTGACTATAGGTGTGAGCCACTATGTTTGATGAGAGTTTAGATTTTATTCTACGTTCCATGGGATGCTATGGAAGGATTTTTAGAAATAAAGCACTATGATCAGTTGATATTATAAAAAGATCCCTGACCCCTGTGAGAATGACAGGCAACAATGGTGGTAGAAAGACCCACAGGGGCTACTGCAGGAGTCGCGGGCGGACAGAGGGCAATAGCTGTGGCCAGGGCAGTAGCCAAGGGAAGGAGCACAGGGAGAAATAACCTGAGACCTATTGTGTTTCAGAGGAGTATGGACAGGACTTGGCAGTGAACAGAATGTCAGAGGGAGAGTGCTGAAAGATGACTTCCATGTTAGAACAAGTGTTCTCTCCACAAGATAGGTTCTTGGGAATGGTCAGGATGAGAGTGGGCAGGAGAAGGACAGGGAAGTAGGAAGGAGAGGCAGAAGTAGAAGATGTGGTGTGGGATCCAGACAACAACAGAAGGCCCTGGCTTCATGTAGGCAGGAGGAATCAGGTACAGGCCTTCTCAATAGCCCCACCAAGTCTCATCTTGTAAAAAGTGCCTTAGCATTGTAGTTGATTCCTCTCACTCAGTACCCTCATAGAGCCTATCAGACAAAGTGGTTCCATGGTCCTTTTAGGCAAAAATCAGCCCACTCAGCTACTACAGTTTTTTTTCTAAGACACTGATGAAATGTTTATAGAAAAGGATGAAGATGACATACCCAACCCTCTCCTCATATTTATATGAAGTTCCTTAAATGTCAGACAAGAGACAGGTTGGATTAGAAAGAGGAAAAAAAAAGGAGAAAAAAAATCCTCAGGATAAAGAGCTTAAGAAAAAACAGCAGAGGAGAGCCAAGCCCTGGGTCCACAGAATTACTAAGGGTTGACTAAAGAAAGCTTTTCTTTTGAAGAGTTCAAGTTCACCAGAAGCCTCTTACCACTCTATGTTAAAGGCAAGAGAACAAGGTTCTCTCCCCAGACTGGGTGTGGGAACTGGGAAGGAACCTGACCACACAGGTCCACAGGGCCCCTGAAGTCACAGCTCTGCATCCTGCACAGAGAACACACTGCCCTCTCAGAGGCTCCAAGGAGACAGAACGGGGCCCAGGTTACCTGAGCCAGCGCCAGGCCTCCAGGAAGTGCTGCTCCCTCTTGTGCCAGGGTGTTGGAGCTGTCCTCTGGTCAGCCGAGCTGTGAAGGAAGGCAAGGAGCCAAGGGTGGACGTCAAGGCAATTTCCAAGCTTTGTGACAGCTTTTGCTCATGGGACACTGGATCTGTCAAGAGATGTACATACCACAACATCCAGAGACGGGTTTGGCAAAAGAGAATAAGCTATAAGTCCCTTGAGGACTACGAAAACAGCACTTCCAACTTCAGATACACATAAATGTACAGAAACTCCTTCCTAATGTCTATTGTGATCAGTGATGACAGAACACAGGAGTGAAAGCCCTGGGAACCCTGCCTGTTCCTACCCATGCTACTTTTCTCCTGGACAAATGGCTGGGCAGGCGCAGGCCACCTTGTGGCTAACTGCAGAACTGCACCCGTCTGTCTTAGGCCTTGTCTGGAGCAAGCAGATACCTGCTCTGGACACCTGCTGCCTCCCAGCCCCTTCCCTCCTCAGCAGCCTTGGTCTTCTCATCCCCCAGCTCCTCCTTCTGGGGCTCCCTTACCTGCAGGGCTGCTTGACTGTGTGGTGTTAGGGTTCTCTTTCCTGTGAAGGGAAGCACAGCAGCTGCTACCAAGTGGAATAATTGAGACTCCTTCTGACCACTCCACTATCTCAGGGACCACTTGGGCCACAGAGACCCAAGCTAAAGATAGAGGGTAAAAGTAAATGAGGTAGGGGGACAGCTGCCCAAGAAAGACCCCAGGGACCTGCCTGGTAGCAGAATTTGCAAGACTGCCCAAAAGAAGATAGTGGAATGGTTTGTCTCAAGTTTGTGGGACATAGGACATCAGCGTGGGGCCTTGCAGGAGCACTAGTCAGCATGGTCCTTTGTCACCAAGTCTGTCAAGACCAACACCCCTGAGACCTTCACAAACAGACACTAGGATCTAAAAACCTTTTTCCTTGTCCCATCCTATGGAACTTCTGATGGGTCCAGAAGTTTCTGGGGATTTGTTAAACTATAATTTACTCTCAAAACCAAGGACACAGGCTCGGCGCCTATAGCTCAACCGGCTAAGGCGCCGGCCACGTACACCTAAGGTGGCGGGTTCGAATCCCCAGCCCGGACCCGCCAAACAACAATAATGGCTGCAACCAAAAAATAGCCGGGCGTTGTGGCGGGCGCCTGTGGTCCCAGCTACTTGGGAGGCAGAGGCAGGAGACTCGCTTGAGCCCAGGAGTTGGAGGTTGCTATGAGCTGTAATGCCATGGTACTCTACCCAGGGGGACAGCTTGAGGCTCTGTCTCAAAAAAAAAAAAAAAACCAAGGACACAGAAGTAACCATTAAGCACACTATTTGCATAGCCTTTTAGGGAAAAACAAGAAGTAAAAAAAAAATCAAATCTAAACAGAATAATTTTGGGCGACACCTGTGGTTCAGTGGGTAGAGTGCTGGCCCCATATACCGAGGGTGGCGGGTTCAAACCCAGCCCTGGCCAAACTGCAACAAAAAAATAGCTGGGCGCTGTGGCAGGTGCCTGTAGTCCCAGCTACTCAGGAGGCTAAGGCAAGAGAATCGCCTAAGCTCAAGAGTTAGAGATTGCTATGAGCTGTGTGATGCCACGACATTCTACCAAAGGCAATAAAGTGAGATTGTCTCTATAATAAATAAGTAAATAAAATAAACAGAATATTTTCCACAAAGAAAAAGAAAAAGTTGTCAAAACTAGGGAATCCTACCAAACATGTATATGAGTAAATTAGTCTAATACTATTAAATTGTTCCAAGGCCAGGCTTGTGGCTTGCATCTATAATTTTAGCACTTTGGGAGGCTGAGGTGGGAGGATCACTTGAGGCCAGGAATTTGGAACCAGCCTGGGCAACACAGTGACACCTGTCTCTACAAAAAATATGCATACATACATACATAATTTTTTAAAATTGTTTCAGAGTATAGGAGAGGAAAATTTCTAAATTCTTTTTATGGAGCAAAAAACCCATTGATACCAAAACCTGACTAAAGATGGCATACTAATAAACACACACAGCTAAAGTCCAATCTCATGAACATATAAACACTAGCAAATAACACTGAAATAAAACACTAGCAAAAACAACCAAACAGGACATTAAAATGTCCATGACATTAAAACAACCAAATGTGTTTACTCCAGGAATTTAAGAATAGTTCAATATTAGAAAACTTCTCAATGTACTTTAGCATATTAAAAGATCTAAGGATGCAGTGGGGTTTGGTGGATGCCTATAGTCCCAGCTACTGGGAGGCTGAGGCAGGAGGCTTGCTTGAGCCCAGGAGTCTGAGTTCAGCCAGGGAATACAGCTGAACTAAAAAAAAATTTTAAACACTGGATAAAAACACACAATAAAATAAGAATCAATGGTGTAGGTGGCTCACGTCTATAATCCTAGCACTCTGGGAGGCCAAGGCAAGTGGACTGCTTGAGCTCAGGAGTTCCTGTGTCTAAAGGACCCTGTGTCTAAAAATAGCCGGGCATTGGGCTATAGTCCCAGCTACTTGGGAACCCAAGAGTTGAGGCTGCTGTGAGCTATGACACTCACAGTACTCTATCCAGGGTGACAAAGGGAGGTTCTGTCTCAAAAAAAAGGAAAGAAAGAAAGAAAGAAGGAATCAATAGTGTAGGAAAGTTTCCAAAAACTCTGATGGACCCACCTCTGAATATTCATGTCCTTGCGATATCCCTCCCCATGCACGTGGGCTGGATTTAGGGATGAGATCCTTACAAATAGAATACAACCCAAGTGAAGGATGTCACATTCAAGTTCAGAGTATGCTGCACTGTGGAGAGGCCAGCTGGGCAAGGAATTGAGGGCAGCCTCTAGCTAAGGAAAAAGTTGTCATAGAACTACTCTCTGTCCCACAATTCAGTAAGGAACTGAATCCTGAAACAATCATGTGAGTGAGACTGCAAGTAAATTTTTCCCCAGTCAAGCCTGGTGATGACCTCAGGGCCAAGACTACACTTTGATAGCTGCCTTGAAAGACTTAGAAGCAGAAGACTTAGCCAAGTTGATTTGGATTTCTGACCCTGAAGTTAAAAGATAATGAATGTTTGTTGCTTTAAGCCAGTAAGTTTCAGGGTAATTTGTTACATAACAACAGGTAACTAATACTTCCTTTTTAAAAAATTTTGAGGCTGGGCTCGGTGCCTGTAGCTCAGAGGCTAGGTACACTGGAGCCACGTACACTGGAGCTGGCAGGTTCGAATCCAGCTCTGGACTGCCAAACAACAATAACAACTACAACCAAAAAATAGCTAGGGATTGTGGCAGACACCTGTAGTCCAGCTACCTGGAAAGCTGAAGCAAGAAAATCGCTTAAGCCCAAGAATTTGAGGTTGCTGTGAGCTGTGACGCCACAGCACTCTACCTGAGGGTGACATAGTGAGATTCCATTTAGAAAAAAAAGAAAAAATTTTTTTTTGAGACAGAGTTTGGCACTGTTACCCAAACTAGAGACCAGTGGCATCATCACAGTTCACTGCAAACTCAAACTCCTAGGCATGATATCTTGTTCAGCTAACTTTTTTTTCCTTTCTTTTTTCCTTTCCTTTTCTTCCCTCTTTCCTTCCTCCCTCCCTTTCCTTCCTTCCATCCCTTGCTTTTTTCTTTCTCTCTCTCTTTCTTTCTTTCTAGACAGGGTCTTACTATGTTCACCAGGCTAGTTTTGAACTCCTGGGCTCAAGTGATCCTCCCACCTCAGCCTCCCAAATTGCTAGGATTACAGGTGTCAGCCACTATGCAAAGCCGTAACTAATACCTCTTTAACACCATAAAACCAGGTCTGTCTCAGCCTAAGAGTAGACATCAGGCTTATGTTGAAGTATTTACACTGAACACATTCAACTGCCGAGGTCAACAGGGAAACCAGGGCTGCTCTTGTCAGGGGATGGCAACCTTGCTAGTCCTAGACATCACTGGCACTGCCCCAGGGAAGAGTCAGGATGCCTAGATCTCAGACTGAAGGATGCTGTAATTCGTACGCATACTTGGTAACTGCACTTCTTCTGTGTGGCTTTTCTTTTCAGTAACTCCTAACAGGAGGGCCTACAACCCAGTACTTTCCTGTGAGCTCATGGTGTGGTAAGGACCTCATGTACTTACATCAACGCACCTCTGCAAGGGTTAGAACAATACCTGGAGAAGCCCACTGATAGATGAGTATGTAAGTGAGGCACCAGAAGGAAAACATGGCCTGCCTTAAGGGACGGATGTCTCTCCTCCCAGCAGCTCTGACCAGAGGCTTCTAGCCCAAGAAAAAGTGTTGACTCAGCCAGGGCACATAAAGGAGCCCAAGGAAGGCAAAACTGCCAGAGGAACTGACACTGGAGAGGGGAACACACACGTAGACTGAAGCCCTGGAATAGATGAGAACACAGGTAAACCTCCACAAGACCTCCATGACAAAGCTGAGGGGCCCCACCATGACAAACAGAAAGGAAGAAGCCTGGGCACTAGCCCGAGAAATGTAAGCAGCACAGCATAAAGCAAAGAGCAAGAGTTAAGGGTGACAACGGGCCAGGGACGCAGGACGGTGACATACCTGCTGAGCAGTCCATGTGTGTCAGGCTGAGCTCACTGGTGGCTTTCATTTTCTTAGCACTGTGCTCTGAGGTAGTGGGTGAGACCAGAGGGCTTTCAGTAGGAAAACATGAAGGATTTACACCAAGGCTACTGTCCAAGGCTTGTTCAGCTTGTTCTATCTTCCTTTTCCGAGAGGGCAGAGCGATGGAAGAAGGAGTCACTGCCAATGCAGGCTGTGCTCTCCCAAGCAAGCGGCAGCCAGGGACAGAGTGCTGGAGCAGGAAGTGGTCGATCCGGGCTTTCAGGGAGGGGTGAGGCAGGGGCTGGGAGTGTGGAGTAAAGGCTACCCCTGTGAAAGGGTCACTGGGCACTCGGCCCCATGCAGCTTCACTGCAGTTACACTTCTCCAGCGTGCTCTGGTCAATGACCTTGCCTGAAGGCAGCAGCATGGGACAAGGCATGATCTCCAGGGTGATAGGATCCAGGAACTCCTCAGGCACATCCTGAATTACCTTGGCCAGCTCCTGAAGGCCAGAGGGGGCCTGCTGACCCTCGGACTTGTCACCGGGATCACAGTCACTTTCCATGGGCAAGGCTGGGGCCTGCAGAGCTGAGCCCTGAGGCAGACTCTCTGAGGCGACCAGCAGAATGCTGTCTATCAGTTCCTGAGAGCAGGTCTTGGCTGGCTGACCCCACACTTCCAACTGCTTGATGCAAGGGACACCGCTGCCTATCACATGTGTGATACAAATCTTGAGGTGAGCTACATGGCTAAGAGAAAGAGCCCCTTTATTCCAAAGCTCCTGGGTCACAACAGCAGGGGAAGGACACGTGATTTCCACTGGGCCAAAAGGTGGCCTGGCCTTGAAGCCCCTGTGACTAAACACCACCTGGCTCTGGTTTTTTAGTAAGACTTTGCCTACCAAGGTGAAGACCTCCTTGTCCGGGACAGATGGCTCAGCTGGGCCTGCGGTTTGGCACTCAGGTGCACTCCAGGATGCTCTGCTAGGTGAAGCAGATGTGTACATTTCCAGGCCAGTTCCGTTCTGCCCTCCCCCAGTTGGGAGGTCTATGATAATCCTGCAGATCTCCACATTAAAGGGAAAGGAAATCGTCACATAGACTGGTGGCTTAATGAAATACTCTGTCCTAAAACCATGACTTCTCTTTGTGAGGTCTTCAGAGATGAGATTTTCTACTTCGTAACCATCAGCTGATATCTAGATTTAATAACAAAGACGAGACACATTGGTCCATTATGGGTCCATATGAAGACAACTAGTTTTCAAGAACTTGTCACTTCTAAGAAAAGTCTTTAAAGAAAGTCTGAAGTTCTTAATTAAAAAAAAAGTCTGGCTCAGTGCCTGTGGCTCAAGTGGCTAAGGCACCAGCCACATACACCTAAGGTGGTGGGTTCAAACCCAGCCTGGGCCCGCCAAACAACAACAATGGTTGCAACCAAAAAATAGCTGGGCATTGTGGTGGACGCCTATGGTCCCAACTACTTGGGAGGCTGAGGCAGGAGACTCACTTGAGCCCAGGAGTTGGAGGTTGCTGTGAGCTGTGATGCCATGGCACTCTACCCAGGGGGACAGCTTG